CTGTGCAATTTGCTTTTTTATTGAAATTTTACTATATAATGCATCACTTAAAATACTTAAAATAGTTGGGAATATCATATGCAAATCTCCCATCGTTGGACGAGATGATGCCGATAAAATTAGAGTCGCTTTTGCCATAGGTTCAAGTAGTGTAGTAATAGCCTAAAGATAAGTAGATTAATTTTATAAATTTTTTAAAAAAATATATAAAATTAAAATATTAACCTCAATTTCATTTCATTCAGCTTGATCCAAATACCGATCTTTTAAAGTAGGATTATCCTCAACAAGATAATCAGTCATTTGATGAATTCGAAACATCTTTTCAATCATATTATAAGTACTATTCCATCTCGTTGATACGTCTAAATCAGGTACAAGAAAAGAACGTCCATTTACTTGAAAAATTCTTTTAAGATCCTCAAATAAAGGTTGGGATTTGCGTATATAACTTACAAAGCTTCGTAACTTTGTAATTGAATTAACAACAACTTTTATGCCCTCTGATACTGAAAGATTTAATACATGAGCAGCACAGCAGACATGTTCAAATTCTTTATTATCATTATTATTTCGAAATTTTTCACAAAGCATATGTCCAAATACATTCATATTGGATGCGTTGTCAGTAGTTGCAGATATAATGCGAGATTCAATATTATAGAATGAAATGGTCTCTAAAATTTTTTCTATAATGTAATTGCCTGTATGTCGTTTATGGAGTGGTATCATATCCAATAAAATTCTTTTCATAACCCAGCTTTCATCAATCCAATGAAGCGTAAGAGCAAGGAACCCAAGGTTAGTACATGAGGTCCAAGCATCCGTTGTAATTGAGAATTTTTGTTGATTTGAATTAAAAAAAATACGAAGTTCACTTTGTCTATCATAAAATATGTTTAAAATAGTTTGTGAAACAAATTGCCTTGATGGAAGATTATACCGTTGAGTTAATTGACTAATAAATTGTTGAAAATCCTTGTTTTCGATGAGATTAAAAGCTTGCTGGTCCGTGATAATCCATTTTAAAAGATATTGGTTAATCTTAAAAACCTTTTCAGCACTGTAAAGCTCAACGTTGGCCTTAGTGGTTAATGCATTATATCGATCAACATGATTACGTTTAAAATGCGATTTGATAGTAGAAAGACCAGTATCCATTGAATATAAATTGTCGCAATGTTTGCAATGTCGTTTATTACCGATTTCTACAAGTTCATCCCAGAAAGGATCTTTTTTTAATCGCTTTGGAGGATGATTTGTTACTTCTGAAAGTGTTTCGGATTCAAGTGTATTTTGAGAGCTTAAAGAGGTATTTTTAATTGGATCAATAAATTGGTCAAGTGCGTTTTCTTTATCCATTTTACAAAGTTTAAGTAAATAAGTAAAATATGTACAAACGAAAAAAATCGCTTATTTATATACATATTAAAAAAAGTCCAATTATAATATCGCAGTAATTAATTTCATCATAATATCGCAATTAACTTTTAATTAAAGAGCCTATCTTCGTATAACGCCATAATAATCAACCAATCGAAAAAAAAAAAAAAAATTTTTTTGTCAATGAACGATAGTAATTAAAAGTCTAAAGTCAATTACTAATCAGCATTTTGCTCATCTAATCGATTCTGAACTCAATTTGAGCAGGAGGAGTTTAAATATTATAGTAAAAATAATGTGACTACAAAAACTCAAGTTTAACCGGTTTGGGTTTCAAACAGGGCCGAACTGAGTTTGGACGAACAGGATAACATCCCTAAAATATAAATGAACTCAATAAATATATAGACATGACGATTAAGCCCATCGCACTAATAGTTAATAATGGTATATAAAAAATTTTTATATCGGTATAAACCGGATTTTTTAACCAAACCGGAATGAATTTTTTATAAATCAAACCGGAATTTTTTCGGGTCCCTGCCGTTACCATAATGCGGGCTTATTTTTTAAGAATTTCTATTTTTGTAATGAAAAAATTAAAAAGTTAATTCCGGCCGGAATTTAGTAAACAATTTTGTAATGTGGGCCAAAATTTCGGCCGTTAATCTATTTTTGTCTCGTGCCTAGCAGCATAAAATTTTTATCGGGCACAAGGCAAATGCCGGGTTTGCAGAACCCTAGTTTTAATCTGCTAGCTATAGCCAGCTGACTAAAGTCATGTGGCTTACAACACGATATAACAAGAGTGACGTGTATTTATTATGTAGAATATACTTAGGTTAGCTAGATAATCACATACACATAGCGATAGTGATTGATTTGGCATTAATCGACTTAGCCGACCAAATCAGTCGATTTCTTTGGTTATGTATAGGAAATGATCGAGAGATTTTGGGTTAGGGATATATTATTTACATACAGTACTAAAGACATTGGTTTTGCGTAGCCGGTTAATAGGATCCGTTATCGTTATAACTCATACTACTTATTCCAATAATAGAAAATTTTGGTTTATTTTTCACGGTTGAATCTATAAGCTTATTTTTTATGTTCTCTGAGTACTGTACCTTAACATATATAAATAAGTTACCCGAGCAATTGATTTACACCAGCCAATCAGACAAACTTCCGCCTATAACTGTATAATAAGATTTGGACATTTGCAGATTTGCGCGCGCTTATAAAACGTTACAATTATATTATTCTAGCTTCTATTTTTTTCTGAAAATGTCAATTTTTCTATTAGAAGAAATTTTAGCACCTATTCTTGAATTCTTTGAAGACGACACTCATTCTTTACATTCATGCCTATTAGTTAATCGTTTTTGGTGTCATTGTGCAGTCCCCATTTTATGGCGATATCCATTTGAAGATCATTGGACCAAATCACATTTCATTGTTAACAGCTATTTAGAATGTTTGGATGAGCGCTCAAAGGACATTTTACGAGAGTCTTTTTGTGGCATATTCCCTACTTCTGTTTTGGACACACAGCCTGCCTTTGACTATATAAGATTTTTACGAAAACTTGATTACCAAGCATTGCACCAAGCTATCGAATATTGGTGTAAATACCAAGGAGTTGATACTCATGTTATTAGTCGAGATTTAGAACCTGACATGGTGGTGCTTTATCCGACTAGCGTAATTTTGAAAAATTTAATCGATCTAATTGTGGAACGGTCAGCAAACCTTTCAAAACTATCCATGTCTGTTGTCTCCCATCGTGAAGGTGAATTTCTAGATTTAAGTCAACACGAAGAGTTTGTTTATGCATTCTTGCCAAAATTGCAGTTTTTAGACTGTGATGATTGTATCCCAGGAAACTTATTATTCGCATCACGAATTGCTACAAATTTAACCAAATTAAAAATTGAATGTTCTTGGGGTAATGATGTGGAGGTATTTTCACTCTTTCAATCTCAAAAAAAATTGCAACATTTGACAATCACTAAAAGATGGCCGCACTTGGATAAAGATGCATTAGAAGATGAAATTTTATCGAATTCGCTCACTAGAATAGATTTCATAAATAACAGAAACCTCATCGACAATGGAGGTCCCTTATGTGTGTTATCTGTATGTAAAAATCTGGAAATATTGAGATTTGACGATTGGATGCCTTTCCGTGAAGATGATCTCCTCACATTGGCAACAGCATCTTTTCCAAATCTAAGAAAATTAATATTTACTCAATGTAAGCCGCCACCAATCGCTTTGGCAACAATGATTACAACAAACGGACTCAATTTACAAGAATTCATATTAACCTTGCAAAGCAATGAACGATCAAATCCGCGACATACAGGAGTTATACGAGCGATCGCCAACAATTGTCCAAACCTTACGTATCTTGATGTACCGATAGAAAGCAAAGATCTACAAGAACTTTATCAACTCTTGTGCAATTGTACAAAACTTGAGAGTTTGACGATCAGCACGTCTGCTAATGACAATAAAGAAGAAGATTTTTGTTATTCTGTTGACAATTTTTTGCCAAAGATGGGCATGGTTATTCCAAAAACGTTAAATCAATTAAAGATCTTTGCACCTTGGAAATTTTCGGCCGACTCTTTACAAAAATTCTTGAAAACGTGTCAAGCTCCAATTAAGTGTATGGAATTATATAGATGGATAAATGATGAACATCTTAAAGTTATTACACGATACGCGAAAGAAAAAAAAAATTTGAGAGTTTTGATTTTGCATTGGACTGAAACAACATATCCAGTCCGACAAAAAGCAAGAGAAGCTATGATTGATTTACAAGCTTTTAACTCGATTGGTCTCAGAATAGATAACTAGCTATCTATGAGGCTATTTAATGTTGGTAGTTTAAATATATAAAGGTCATCAATTATGGGGGATTCAAAATACGATGCAAGGTAATCATAATTATCAAGTTTTTATTTAGATAGTTTTACTCTTAAATGATAAATAATTGATAAATTTTTCTAAATTTTTAGTCCAAAACGCAGAAAAGTTACGGAATAGTTACAGATTATATACTCAATTATAGTAAAAACAGTTTTTTGTGAGAGTGTGATTTTTCTTTATTACTGTACTGCATTTGTAGAAAGCGTTACCATATTTAGTTTTAAATATTTGACTTTTTTTTCCTTCAAAGTTTATGTTAAATATCTCGATATTGTTTAATTTAATTTTTTTAATGTTAGCGCATCATGAGCGCATTTTATAAAAATAAAATGATATGTTGAGCTACGTTCATTTGTTTAGTAGAGATACGCCAGTCATTTCTTTAGGAATATCTAAGCAAATAACATCCAAAATTGTAGGAGCTACGTCACATAGCGCCCCTTTGGCAGAATTCTTAAAAGAATGTTCCTTGGAAGTCATTATAAATGGAACTAAAATTTTGATATAGTTAGCATAACTGAGTTCCATCAAGAGAAATTATCAAATAACTTACCAGGATTACAAGTATGAGCTGTATGGGGTTGTCCATGTTCATCTTGCATTTGTTCGGCGTTTCCATGATCTGAGGTCACAAAAAGGATATATCCATGTTCTTGACAAGCATTATAAATAATTCCAATGGCTTTATCTGTGGTTTCAATGGCCTTTACTGCGGCTGGGTATATTCCAGTATGCCCAACCATGTCCGGATTTGCAAAGTTGCACATGACAAACGGGAACTTTCCACAAGATATTTCCTCAGAAACTTTTTCAGCAACTTCAATGGCAGACATTTCAGGCTTGAGATCATATGTGGCAACTTTTGGAGAATCAATCAAATCACGATGCTCAAGTTCAAACTGTTTCTCGACGCCACCATTAAAAAAGAATGTTACATGCGCATATTTTTCCGTTTCTATTACAGTATTATATGTTAAATAAAGGCAAAAACTATATAACGCTTTAAATTGACGACTGGGTGATAACTTTAAGTATTACCGGCAACATGGCATTGAGGAATTTTATGCTTTGCGAGCCATTCAGCCAAGACATTGTCCATTGTTTGTGGAGGAAATGCAACAGGAAATGGGAATTCAGCCTTGTATTTTGTCATACAAGTAATGCTCTAAGCATTTTCGATAAAAAAAAGTGAGTTGTTATGTTTTTGCACGGGCTCGTTATCATCATGTCACTTACAAGGTTTTTGGGAACTTCGATATCAAATGGGGGAGGAGAAATTCCGAATGTCTGGACAATTTGACGCATCCGATCGGATCGAAAGTTGAAAAAGAAGAGGGTGTCACCATCTATAATAACATAACATCTTTGTTACTTTGACAAACAAAAAAAGAAATAAATGGGGTCTTTGCCTTGAAAATCACAGTAGTATCATATGTTCCATAACGTGATTTTCAAGGCAAAAACTCAAAATGCGTATTAGGCGTACCTCGAATAATTCCATCCTCGCAAACTATAATAGGCTTTAAAAATTCATCTGTTTCATCTTTGGAATATCGTTCCCTGATTGTCTAATAACATATATGTATTTTAATAATAAGTAAAAAACGAATATAGAAGGAGCATGATACTTACGTTCAAAGGATCTTCGGAACTTTCTCCAACGCCTTTAGTCAGAGCTTCAAAAGCGATTTTTATTCTTTCCCATCTTTTATCTCTATCCATAGCATAATATCGACCAATAATCGTGGCCACTTGTCCATAATTAATGTCACAAATGACTTTTTGAAGCTGTTCAAGATATTTGTCAGAAGAACGAGGATTGGTATCCCTACCATCCCCAAAAAAATGAATAAAAGCTTTTGGAATACCGTGGTTTTTTGCGGTTTCCAAAAGACAAATTAATTGATTAATGTGGCTGTGAACTCCACCATCAGAGACCTTTGAACAAAAGTGAATGTTAGATCTTTTCATAAAAGACGATTCCATTCATTATTATGATTACCAGGCCGAGAAAATGGATCCTCCCAGTCGTTTCTTTGGCACGATCAAGGCATTTCATAATAAATTCGTTTTCATGAAATTTTTTGTGTTTTACAGCCAAATCTATCCTTACAATATCCTAATTTCAGTAATAAGATACGGAAAGTTAGTAAAACTTTTCGGCAAAACTGAACAAGCGATGTAGTCTGCGTACTTGATAAACTATTCGACCGGCACCGATATTTAAGTGTCCAACTTCTGAGTTGCCCATAAGTCCTTCAGGTAAGCCAACTGCTAAGCCATGTGCTTCTAAAGTAGTATAAGGATATTCTTCCTTGAGCTTGTCCATTACGGGCGTGCTTGCCGCACAAATCGCGTCGCCCGTAGGATCTTCTTTAGTAGACAGACCCCAGCCATCGAGACAAATTAAACAAACTTTTTTGTTCATTTTAGTTCTGCTATAGCTGTAAGAAGCAATGGGTACATTTTCACGTGTTAAACAGGTTGCAGAGCGTCATGTGCATGGTATCCAATCAGAATCAGTATATAACGCATTTTGATTGGCTAAAAAGCATTTATATATACCCTAAATTTAAGTGACTTGGTGCACCATATAAAAAATACTATGTCGAAACGCGTTCACAAGAAGGTACCTCATTACCACATTTTTTTTTCACCGTTTGTTATATAAACTAAGGTTAACTATTTCAGTTTTATCACGAAAAGCAAAGGCTTGACTCTGACTTTACTGAAATTGGGTCGATAAAAAAGCAGAAAATCTGTAATACTTTACATGCTAGCACAGGAAGACAATATACTGTGAGCGTTGCACTTCCAGGCTCGATAATTGAAAATGCTCAATCAGCTGAACTTAAAACGTATTTGGCCGGACAGGTGAAAACTTAAAGATTATGATTATCTATTTAAATTTAAACCTAATCTTTAAATCCTGTCGTGAAGCTTGCGCGTGCTTTCGCAATATTTAATGTAGATGAAATAGTTGTCTTCAATGAATCAGGAGCGTTGCGAAATTCAAGTAACAATCAGCAAGAGGAGTCCAGTCGCAAAAAAAAACAAACCGAGAATATTTCTTCCGATCCAAATATTTTCTTAGCCAGGATATTACAATATTTGGAGACACCTCAGTAAGCTCTTCAAAAATCTTTTGTCATTATTATTTTGATAGAGCATCACTAATTTGCTATGTCTAATTGAAATTTCATAAGATATTTACGCAAGGATCTATTTCCTGTTCATCAAGACCTTAGATATGCAGGTACAAGCGTTTATGCTTGAATTATGTAAATGTATTGAAAACTAATTCTATTTAAAAAAATATATAGGCTTGCTGAATCCATTAGATTGTCCACATCACGTTCGCCAAGACGAGAAGTGCCCGTTTAGGGAAGGTGTTGTAATAGACAGAAAAATTAAATATGGGAAAGGATCTTTGGTCAATGCAGGGCTCACCAAGGTAATTTCGTTGTCATGCAAGCATACGCTAAATCATACATTCATTACCTCAACTTCCCATACAGCATGTAATAATTGATCGTTCAATCAAACCAGGAATCCGCGTAACTTTGGATATGGAAAATTACGAGACTGTCAAAACTGGTAAATTTGATTCATTAGGCTCATTCGCTCTTTTGTCGATTTTATTCATATAACTCCTATGTAGATGGAACCTATATTAAAGCTAAGGTGGTATCACCAAAGACTCCGCGACAAAATGGCTTTTACTGGGGTTATCAAGTTCGCATGGCAGATTCAATATCAAAAGTGTTCACAGAATGCCCATTTTCAGTATGTGTATGATATTATTGTCAAGAATTGTCGAATAAAATTGGTCTGATATAATGTATAAACGTGATCAGGATGGATACGACGTGACTATAGGGACATCCGAGCGTGGCAAGATTGTTCATAACCTGGTAGATGAGTTACCAGAATTTAGGTTTGTTGACACACTATCTCTGTCATTATTTAATACTATTATATAACAATTCAGTATCTTTCATAGTCATCTGCTAATTATGTTTGGTGGCTTGGGAGGACTCGAAACTTCTATTGATGCGGATCAAGATTTAAAATGCACTGGCGAAGAAGCAGATTCTTTGTTTGATTTATGGATAAATACATGTCCTGATCAAGGAAGTCGGACAATCAGGACTGAGGTGTGTTTGAACTTATTATATAATTAAAAATCTATGCAGGGGTGTTTGAAACACGAGTATATAATAATATAAATATTTATTGAGACTAAAATAGGCATTGGCGATATTAAGGGTAGTGACAAATATTACATATGGGCTGCCGTCAATAGAAATAAGGCAGTTGAAAAAAATTTAATGCCTTAACTTTCACAGCTCATATCTCAATGTGTTTTGAAGCTATCTTGATAATTTAATATTCAAAAGAAAGTTTGATCGCAAGCTTTCTTTTGACTATTAAATCATTAATATAGTCTCAAAATTCATCGAGATATGAGCTGTAAATTTAAGGTATTAATTTTTTTAAAAATGTCAATCTGCCTTATTTCTATTGACGGCAGCCCATATTATACCCTGGTCGCCATTATCAAGATCGCAGGGTATAAATCAGTTATACACTGGGTTCTATATGTTTAAGCGGAAATTTCATTTCCGCTTATACCCATGCCGTTCAGTGTATAACTTCTTACGTTAGATACCGTATAGCCGCGAAATAACGCACATGAGCGTTAATTCGGAAATTGCACCTCTTAAAAACATCATATTTTGATTCAAAATAACGCCCATGCGCGTCCCGAAATAACGCACACTTTGCATAGAATGTGTTAACGGATTTGATATATGTACATAAGCTCAAAATTTTGACCCTTTGTTTCAAAATAACGCGCATGGGCGTCCCGAAATAACGCGCAGG